AATATCATCTATATGCGGATGATGCACAGATTTACCTCTCCTCCACTGACCTCTTTTCCACTCTCCTGGAACACAGCACTTTTCTTTCATATTGAATGTTTTCCCAGTTTTCTATCAATCTCCCTGCAAGTTAATAGGACACCTATTAACCCAACCCCTTTAAGCTTCGTTTGACTTGAGTCTTACCTTCTCTCCAAACATCCAGTCTTTCTCCAAACCAGTGTTTAACGTCCACTTTAAAAATATTGCCCATATTCACACTTTTCGAACAAGGCACTTATTCATGCACACTCATCATTTACTGGCTTGACTGCTGCAACTCACTGCTCACCAGCGTTCCACATACCCACCTTGCCCCTCTTCAGTCTGTAATGAATTCTGCAGCCAGGCTTATCTTCCTGACTGACCACTATTCCCACACCTCACCCCCTTTGCCAAACATTACATTGTCTTCAAGTACCCTTCAGGATACAATTGAAGCTAACACTAACCTGCAAAGCCCCCAATAATTCCACTCTTCACTTCATTTCCTCTTATTCAACAACGCCCCTTTTCGTTCCCTTCACTATGCAAAGCACCTTCTCCTCACATCTGCTCGTTCCTGAATAGCCAACTCTCATCTGCAGAGACTTTTTAAGCACTGCCTCGTCCCTTTTGAATTTGCTACCCCGTGCCATCAGACAGTCCCTCAAGCCTCCAGTCCATTAAGAAGTCACTGAAAACACACCTCTTTAGGAAAGTTTACCATCTTCTTGGGTTACATTTCTCTAATTTCACTGCCTGTAACGGATCACCTGGCACCCCGACTGGGTACCTCCGTTGAAGGATGCTCCTAGCGCTTCCTGAGGGCTCCAAGCAGCCGACACCATAACCACCGTGGACTCCTTCAGAGAGCAAGACAGGAACCAGCTCTTAAAAGAGCTTAGAAGTAATTATCCAAGGGAGCATGCAGAGCATAGTAATCCATTGTAGTGATATAGCAATCCCCCCAATAAGAGACAGGACTCTAGATTGAGGGTGAAGAAGAACTCTGGTTTAATGACACACACTCTGCTTTTATGCAATTCTCCCATGCAAGGGAGATGCCCTCTGACAATTATACATTACCCAATCACACAATGGTTACATCCCACACATCTCCTCCCCTTAGCCTGAGAGGTTAACACAATTAGCCGTACAGTTTAAAACATACTTTTTACCCAACTTTCATAACTCTAAAACTATACATCCAATATTAATAAAAGTATATTATTAATCAGCACATTTCAAATACAAACATACCCAAAAATCATTTGAATCAGTTCAGCCGTTCGGGAGATAGATATAAGTCACTTTTGACCGACCACAAGCACATTTTCATGCCCAAAACAGTTCCATGGATTTGGGCGGTGCGGTCGGTCTATTTCACACTGAGAAAATGACTAAGTCCCATTCGAACGAGCGTTCGAATCTTCGAACGGACCTTAGTCTCCAGCCGCAGTGTCGAAGTAGAGTAGAAGGTATGAGTCAGCGGTGTTCGTGCAATTGGGTAGCCGAAAACAGTTCCATAGATTTGGCTGCACACACAGCTGACCGCATTCGAATGAGTTAAAATGGCCACCACATGTTCGGTTTTCGAATGGCGGCCACTTCGACTGCATCCGAAGTGCCAGTTTAAAAGTACAAATCCTTTCTCTGGGAATTAAAGGGCCAGAAACAGCAATATAAAAATCAATTATGCCCAAATCAGTTCCTAGAAGGGCAATACATCCCAGGGCCATAATCGCAGGGCAGGAGGCTGACAAACAGGCCCCTCCAAAAACCAGTGGCGAGGTTACTTTTGCCACACTGCCCACATCACTTCCCACACCCCCATAGCCCAGCTCAATCTCTCTCTTGACCTGGCTTGGTTCTTCCACACACCACTCTTACCAGTTTATTTCTTATTCATCAATCCCTCCTCCCCTCGACTTGCTGTTATTTCTCTTGTGTGTCTTTGCCCATTCCTCAATGACGGTAAGCTCATTTGATCAGAGTCTTCTTCACCTCTTGACTGTTATATTACCTGTTATATTCCATATGAAAATGACTTGTCAAATATCCCCATTTTATGATTGTAAAGCACTTCAGGATATGTTGGAGCTAAATAAATGACAATACAGGGAGTGCAGAATTATTAGGCAAGTTGTATTTTTGAGGATTAATTTTATTATTGAACAACAACCATGTTCTCAATGAACCCAAAAAACTCATTAATATCAAAGCTGAATATTTTTGGAAGTAGTTTTTAGTTTGTTTTTAGTTTTAGCTATGTTAGGGGGATATCTGTGTGTGCAGGTGACTATTACTGTGCATAATTATTAGGCAACTTAACAAAAAACAAATATATACCCATTTCAATTATTTATTATTACCAGTGAAACCAATATAACATCTCAACATTCACAAATATACATTTCTGACATTCAAAAACAAAACAAAAACAAATCAGTGACCAATATAGCCACCTTTCTTTGCAAGGACACTCAAAAGCCTGCCATCCATGGATTCTGTCAGTGTTTTGATCTGTTCACCATCAACATTGCGTGCAGCAGCAACCACAGCCTCCCAGACACTGTTCAGAGAGGTGTACTGTTTTCCCTCCTTGTAAATCTCACATTTGATGATGGACCACAGGTTCTCAATGGGGTTCAGATCAGGTGAACAAGGAGGCCATGTCATTAGATTTTCTTCTTTTATACCCTTTCTTGCCAGCCACGCTGTGGAGTACTTGGACGCGTGTGATGGAGCATTGTCCTGCATGAAAATCATGTTTTTCTTGAAGGATGCAGACTTCTTCCTGTACCACTGCTTGAAGAAGGTGTCTTCCAGGAACTGGCAGTAGGACTGGGAGTTGAGCTTGACTCCATCCTCAACCCGAAAAGGCCCCACAAGCTCATCTTTGATGATACCAGCCCAAACCAGTACTCCACCTCCACCTTGCTGGCGTCTGAGTCGGACTGGAGCTCTCTGCCCTTTACCAATCCAGCCACAGGCCCATCCATCTGGCCCATCAAGACTCACTCTCATTTCATCAGTCCATAAAACCTTAGAAAAATCAGTCTTGAGATATTTCTTGGCCCAGTCTTGACATTTCAGCTTGTGTGTCTTGTTCAGTGGTGGTCGTCTTTCAGCCTTTCTTACCTTGGCCATGTCTCTGAGTATTGCACACCTTGTGCTTTTGGGCACTCCAGTGATGTTGCAGCTCTGAAATATGGCCAAACTGGTGGCAAGTGGCATCGTGGCAGCTGCACGCTTGACTTTTCTCAGTTCATGGGCAGTTATTTTGCGCCTTGGTTTTTCCACACGCTTCTTGTGACCCTGTTGACTATTTTGAATGAAACACTTGATTGTTCGATGATCACGCTTCAGAAGCTTTGCAATTTTAAGAGTGCTGCATCCCTCTGCAAGATCTCACTATTTTTGACTTTTCTGAGCCTGTCAAGTCCTTCTTTTGACCCATTTTGCCAAAGGAAAGGAAGTTGCCTAATAATTATGCACACCTGATATAGGGTGTTGATGTCATTAGACCACACCCCTTCTCATTACAGAGATGCACATCACCTAATATGCTTAATTGGTAGTAGGCTTTTGAGCCTATACAGCTTGGAGTAAGACAACATGCATAAAGAGGATGATGTGGTCAAAATACTCATTTGCCTAATAATTCTGCACTCCCTGTAATCTGTTATTTTACCTCTGCATCACCTGAGTACAGTTTGATATGAAAACAAATCCAGAATATCCAGTAGAGGGCAAACTGGAGAAAAAAGACCTTCGGTGGATTCTGCAAACCGCAGGTCATCTGTTTGGGTTAGCAGGAGCTTTTTTATACTTGATTACATTAATGACAACAAGTAACAATGGACTCATTACCTTGAACAGTTTGATTTGCCATTAAAAGCTGGACGGAAATGCAAGATTGGAGATTTTAAAGAATGAATGGATTAGTTTATGGAACGCAAAGCACTCCAGCCCAGCAAGCTGTTAAGTGGCCTTTGTGTGTGTGCCATGTGAAACAGAGGATAAGCTCGTTATTGACGATATTTATTGAAGCCAGCAGAAAGTCGACCCTTCGTCTCGAAATGTCTAGAGGAAAGAACTGCGTCATTATATCTCTGTAAGAGCTTTCATCCATTATGACGTATTACGAATGGCTTCCAGTGGCATTATTACTGGGTTGCAATCGAAGAAGTGTTCTCAGCTAATGAGTGGACATTTAATGACCCTCTATAATAGCTGAGGCAATAATATAAATAGAAGCCAAAGGAAAAAAACAAAACAGAAGGCCTCACTGCCAGCAATCTGTAAATAAAAAAAAGCAGAATTCAACTGATGACTGGGGGACAATGAGCAGTTATCAATGTTGAAAGCAAAATTGAAAGTGCACCCAGGGAACGAGTGAACTCAGCAAGGGCACAGGGGAATGTAATCACTCACAATACAATCTCAGGTGGCAATGGGACCCTTACTATCCTGACAATAAACCGTGGTCCCTTATATTCCTGGCTTTGACAGTGCTAGGGGTGTCATGGCCTGATAAATGCATCCAGAATTGATCAATTCCAGTACAGAGTAAAGTCTTTATTTGGGTAAATTCACTGCATCATATGGGCAAAGTATCAGCAGCGTATGGGTAATGTTCAGCCTGATGGAAGTGACAGACAAATCTTTGCAAAAAACGAAGAATTTCTAAAATCAATTTAATTGGGAGAGGAATGAAAGCATTATAATGATAACTCTGGATAGTTACTGGGAGATGGATACTATCACAGTAAATTGATAATACAGCAATATAAATAATTACAATGTCCAGCTGTAGAGGTGGACTCATTCAGTGTGGGCTGGTAATTCTGTCTGTCCGGGTCTACGTTCCACTGTGAGCCTTCTCACACCAAACCAAACGGGAAAGTGACAGTTCATTCAACAATTGCTATCTTGCAAAGGTCTCTCAGGAACTGTCATGCACTTTCTCTTCAGAACTATCTCTCTCGCACTGCCTCTGTCGAAGTCTGTCTCTCTCGCACTGTCTGTACCCAGCTCTGTCTCTCTCGCACTGTCTGTATCCAGATCTGTCTCTTTAGCACTGCCTCTATCCAGATCTGTCTCTTTAGCACTGCCTCTGTCCAGCTCTGTCTCTTTAGCATTGCCTCTGTCCAACTCTGTCTCTCTCGCACTGCCTCTATCCAGATCTGTCTCTTTAGCACTGCCTCTATCCAGATCTGTCTCTTTAGCATTGCCTCTGTCCAGCTCTGTCTCTTTCGCGCTGCCTCTATACAGATCTTGCTCTTTAGCACTGCCTCTATCCAGATCTGTCTCTTTAGCATTGCCTCTATCCAGCTCTGTCTCTCTCACACTGCCTCTGTCCAGATCTGTCTCTTTAGCATTGCCTCTATCCAGCTCTGTCTCTCTCGCACTGCCTCTGTCCAGATCTGTCTCTTTAGCACTGCCTCTATCCAGCTCTGTCTCTCTCGCACTGCCTCTATCCAGCTCTGTCTCTCTCACACTGCCTCTATCCAGCTCTGTCTCTCTCGCACTGCCTCTATCCAGCTCTGTCTCTCTTGCACTGCCTCTATCCAGCTCTGTCTCTCTCACACTGCCTCTATCCAGATCTTGCTCTTTAGAACTGCCTCTGTCCAGCTCTGTCTCTCTCGCACTGCTTCTGTCCAGCTCTGTCTCTCTCGCACTGCCTCTGTCCAGCTCTGTCTATCTGGCACTGTCTAAGAAAGGTTGCTTTTCTCTCTATTTCTTTTCATTTTGTTGAGAGTATGTACCAGTAGTATACATTTATCTACATCTTCAGGTTCTCGCTTAATTTTCACTTTATAGAAAACATTACAGAATTTGCCAGTCTTGGGAATTCCCAAATGAACGCGATAGAAAATGGTTTCTTGATGAGCAGCTGTAATGCCCAGAATGGGATTCCTGAAGTCTATGAATACATTTTCTAATCTGTGATTCCTTTCTTGAAAATGGTTGCAATAAAACAGAGCTAAAGGAGTGGTGAATAATAAGATGTGTGACTGCGATAGGCAACCTAGTGTGTGATTAGTGCCATAGTAGTTTGCCAGCGATGAGGCCACAATGGATCAGGACTCCCATTTAACTCAGCCAGCCAAAAGTGTTGCAGTATATTTTGTTTACAACAACTAAAACGCTCACATAGTGCATCCTTCAAAGGTGGAAGAAGGTGTGCAATTTGGAGATAGATTATCACTGGCTGGAAAATGTAATGAGAAGATCAGGTGAGAGAGAGAAGATAAAGAAACAGGTCACGGTGTCCGATCATGGGCATAATTTAAAGAGGACAGAACTAATGAGAATCTTGGTCTCTGGGGATCCTATCCTGAATGAAGAAATGAGAGAGCAGAAAGGCTCCAAATTAAATCGAATGGAAGTATTTCTTACATTGCGTCTACAGCGGAATATAGACTAAATTACAAATTCATTCGTACTGAACTTGTGGGATCACTAATGAAGCTCACCGCCAAGTGAATATTTAAATAGACATTCAGCTTTAAGGAGGCTGTTCAGCAGCTCACCTGCATTTCTTTAGAAAGGTAAATCTTCTAAATTCTGTGCATATGGTGTCTGTCAATGCCGTCTCACTGAAGGCTTCGTTCTGTCCTTATCAGTCAATGCTGCGATGGATTAACATATACAGGTCGGGTCTTAAACAGATGCCTCCATCATCAGGTTGGACTCCTAAGCCTACTGGTGACAGCTTGGATGTAGATACACAGAGAAGAGCTAAAAAAATGACTTGGAATTATGACAAACTCTAGGCAGGATCTAATGAGAAAGAAAGGACTTTTATGTTATAAAAATCAAAACTTCACACATGAGATGTAGCAGAGTTCTTTAAAATAAATACATCATTTCAAAGTACCATTTTATGAGATTTACAAATAACCATGACAGCCTTTTTATGCGTAAGAATCGAAGTGAAAGGAAAAGTAGAGGTACAGAGCGACATTTCGATGCAGAATTATCATTGAAAGACATTATTACAATCAGTTTTGAGATCTGACGTAGCAAGCAATTACTACCACTTCCAAGACACTAGTATAGTATCCAATAATTAAAATGATTTATGCATGCACAGGGAATATTTTTTGCATATTCAGTAATTTCCAACATTTTCCTCATAAATTACTGTCATACTTAAGTTAAACATGTCTTATTGAGTGTAGAAACCTGGAATTAATGCATTCATGAATTATTATTAAATCCTACCTTGGGTGCAAATACCTGAATATTCTGTAATTTCTGATTTGCAAAGACCCCTCCTGCATGAAAGGCCTGGCAAGGGGGGTGTCAGGGTAATATAATACACACAGAACTCCAGTTAACTAATATAAGATAAATCAGAAACCCTAAAACGGATCACTGGCCCTTAGAATGGATAGATTTAACGTTGATAACAGAAAAGTGCAGGTCAAGTCAAGGTCAGGGAAATAGAATGTATGAAAACATTAGACAAGCCAAAGATCAAGGCATAAAGAAGTCAGAATAGTCGAAGTACAAGCCAATGTCAAAATTCCCTCAGATAACCAAGCTGGAAACTGCGACAGGGCACTGAGAATGATTCAAAATGACTTTAAATAGTCTAAGAACGTCTCTGATTTGTCAACTGTAGTCATGTGACTTTAGAACGTGCATGTGCAAAACAGATGACGACGCACGCACGTTCATGAGCGTGATATTGGGCAAGACATATGGAGCCACAAAGAGCTCTCTCTAGTGAGCAGAAGGTAAGATAGACATACCTAGCAACAAAAAGAACCACCGGGTCAGAAACAGAGCTGTATAGGAAGGCGCTGTGATGGAGGGGCATGGAGGCAATTGACCCCCATTCAACTAGCATTCAGGGATTGATGGCTGCAGCCTCACAGAAAAAAATGTCTGTGGATTAAACACAATGGGAGGTGTGTTCAGAAATCTGTTGGCACAGTACTGGAGGAGTGGTGCAGCAGGCAGGAATTGTGCAGGCTAACACATCACTTTGTGGGTTTGTACTTGGGCTGGTGTCCCATGATGTTCTCCAAACATGGCCTCTCTCACTGGGATATTTCCTGGTGGACTGCAGTAGCTGGTGCTGACCAGACTGTCAGATGAGGGTGAGTATGTTTGATGTCACTGGAGGGTGAGGTAACAAAGTCATCATGACATTCATTTCACACACTGGAGACAGAGGAGTTTGAAATAGAAAATGGGAAATGTGTTTTTAGGCATGCATGGTGCAGGTCATTGTGATGGAGGAGGTAGGGGGATATTATGTCACAACTCAAGCAGCCTCCATCTCTCAATCCATATATTCAATGTTTGCATAAGCATGACCATCCACAATGAGATCTGCGAGCTTTGTGCACAAAAAGAGACCATTTGTTTGTACTTGCCCCCAAGACGAAGGTTGCCAGTCCTCCATTTCCCTGCATTGCCCCTGCCCTGCTCCCTGCACAGTCAGTTTGTGTTGTCGATTGCGTGCTGATGTCTGGGGCCAGCTGATTAAGGAATGTGCATTTCCTACCTGAAGGATGCTGTATTGAAAGATGCTTCCCATTGAGTTGAAGTAATGATTCAATTAAGACAAACAGAGAACATAGACTGAAAGACAGTAGAGCAAAACTGGCAACATGGTCTTCAGGAACCAATCTCACCAGCAGGCTACCTGGATTAACATAGGATGACATTGCTATTGGTCATTTATAAGTTTTGATTCCGCCTTATGACTTTGGCTGGAGCAGGGGTCTATGTTTGCCTGGGAGTGTCTGAAAGACAAATGGCAGCATATCTGTTACACTGAGCTGTACTGGCTATATCGCTTAGAGTGTCCCTTTAATTATCTGACGCAGAGCTGGGAAGTTATATTCTGATTACAAAGCGATAATTAATGGAGGAAGCTGGCCAGAGCAGGTTAAAGTCAGGGTATGAAAAGTTATTAGTGATGTACCGAACGGTTCGCCAGCGAACGGTTCCTGGCGAACATAGCATGTTCGCGTTCGCCACGGCGGGCGAACATATGCGCGGTTCGACCCGCCCCCTATTCGTCATCATTGAGTAAACTTTGACCCTGTACCTCACAGTCAGCAGACACATTCCAGCCAATTAGCAGCACAGCCTCCCTAGCAGACCCTCCCACCTACTGGACAGCATCCATTTTAGATTCATTCTCAAGCTGCATGCTTAGTAAGAGGAGGGAAAGTGTAGCTGCTGTTCATAAGATAGGGAAAAGCATAGCTAGGTTAGGGATAAGGGTATGCTTTTTTTTTTATTTTATTGAATAGCAGTCAGTGTCCTTAAAGCGGGTGTGTTACGCTAACAGTGGATACGGTGACCAGTGCCACCACTTAGATCTGGTGACACAAAGCTTGTATTTAAAAACAAAAAACTTTTTTCACTGTTATAGATTGAATAGCAGTCAGTGTCCTTAAAGCGGGTGTGTTACGCTAACAGTGGATACGGTGACCAGTGCCACCACTTAGATCTGGTGACACAAAGCTTGTATTTAAAAACAAAAAACACTTTTTTCACTGTTATAGATTGAATAGCAGTCAGTGTCCTTAAAGCGGGTGTGTTACGCTAACAGTGGATACGGTGACCAGTGCCACCACTTAGATCTGGTGACACAAAGCTTGTATTTAAAAACAAAAAACACTTTTTTCACTGTTATAGATTGAATAGCAGTCAGTGTCCTTAAAGCGGGTGTGTTACGCTAACAGTGGATACGGTGACCATTGCCACCACTTAGATCTGGTGACACAAAGCTTGTATTTAAAAAAAAACAACACTTTTTTCACTGTTATAGATTGAATAGCAGTCAGTGTCCTTAAAGCGGGTGTGTTACGCTAACAGTGGATACGGTGACCAGTGCCACCACTTAGATCTGGTGACACAAAGCTTGTATTGAAAAACAAAAAACACTTTTTTCACTGTTATAGATTGAATAGCAGTCAGTGTCCTTAAAGCGGGTGTGTTACGCTAACAGTGGATACGGTGACCATTGCCACCACTTAGATCTGGTGACACAAAGCTTGTATTTAAAAAAAAAAACCACTTTTTTCACTGTTATAGATTGAATAGCAGTCAGTGTCCTTAAAGCGGGTGTGTTACGCTAACAGTGGATACGGTGACCATTTGCCACCACTTAGATCTGGTGACACAAGCTTGTATTTAAAAAAAACCAACCACTTTTTTCACTGTTATAGATTGAATAGCAGTCAGTGTCCTTAAAGCGGGTGTGTTACGCTAACAGTGGATACGGTGACCATTGCCACCACTTAGATCTGGTGACACAAAGCTTGGATTTAAAAAAAAACAACCACTT